AGAATTATATTGACGTGACTAGCTGGTTTAACTATGATTGTTTGATTTTATTTAACTATTTCTATTGCAATACTTTTTTTGTTTCATAAGTTCTAAATTTTTTTGTTTTCTTGTTCTAAATCTGCGATCCTATCATCTTTTAGTTTAATTTCTTTCTTTCAATTATCATTAATCTTTTTTAATCTCTTTTCGACTACATCACTTTCATCGTGTATTTGTTTTAAATCATTTTTCAAACATTTAATCTTTTTTTCATTTCTTCCTTTCTCGGCTTCTAAAGACTTAATTTTATCATTCAGAGCTAACTCTAATGCTTCAAGTATTGTCTTTTTCTGGAGAAATTCCTCGTATTTCTTATTGAGATTATTAATTTTTTTTAAAATTCTATAACCATCGCATCGAGTTCCATGTTTTTTTTTTTAGTAGGATTTATATTTTCAAATTAAGGCCCCTAAATTTCAGCATCATCCGATTTCAGCATCATCCCCGACATTTAATAATATTAATTAGATTTAATGATCATGAAAATTTATTTAATTTAGCATTATACTTGGACTCAATCACAACTCAAAGAAAATGATCGAATTTTTCAATGCGGAGTATTTACTTGTACATTTACAACAGAAGCACATGAAGGTATATATTTATATTTATCGCATTGTTTATATGTCTTTTATTATTTATCTTGCATTGTAAAAATATCTTATCAGTTATTAATGCTATTTATATAAAAATTAATTTTCATTATTTGGTCAGGTAAGTTATTACAACCCTGTGTTAATTATATTTTATTTGCCTAAATTTATATTTAATTTTGCCCAGAATATGTTTGAAGATATATGTAAGTTACATTAATCTGATGCTGGTCAAAAAATCTTAATGCTAGCCAAATTATTTTATCTTAATGCTAACCAAAATTGATTTTTATTTATATCTTACACCCTATGTTAATTATATTTTATTTTGCCTAAATTTTATATTTAATTTGCTCTGAATTATATTAATCTTGTTTGAATTATATAATATTACATAATTGTTTACCAGAGCTATAAAAAATTTCTACCACATGAAATTTTTCAACTCTATTAATAACATATTTAGATGTTCATAACTGACTTTTTAAATATAGAGCATGTCAAGCAGGGATGCTCAAATGACCTCAAATGACCCAATTTTTTTATTATGAATTCTAGTCCAAAATGACCTAGGTCATTTGAAAAAAAGGCAAATGAACTCTATTTTACTATCCCTGAATCAGGAGGAATCTGAAAATTATATTTTTATTCTTATAGATGTATTGCACCGGTTTAGAAGTAACAATTAAACTAAAATTTTTAGTATACATAAAAAAATATCAACTTGTTTATATATTCTAACAACTTAAACCCGGTTCATATAATGAGATCATGATTTTAACAAATTTCTCCTTATCAATGTGCTCGTATTCATAAACTTTTAACAAATATTTTGCGATTCATACAACACGGTCATAATCTAAATACAGAAAAAATCTGGATTTCAGATACAGTATTTTAACAAGATTTTTATAGATTTTCCTTCCGTGGGGTATATACCGATTTGAATTAAATGAAGATTTTGTCAAAACTATTGACTGACCCCTTATGCGGCCCATCCATTAATGAATTAAGATGTTTATTGACTGCCAGTAGTTTTCCAGAAATATAAGATATAACAGTTATATTTTTACTGAAACACACAATTCTGAAATCTAAAAAGTTTATTTTACATGAAGATTTTGTCAAATCTATTGACTACTCCTCATGCAGTTCGCCCATTGAATCCTCCCTCTTTAAGAAATATAATTCACGTGATTTTTCAAGGCTAAAAGTTTGTGACTTCTAAAAATATATTTTGGAGAAAGTTTTTTTTACTGAAACGTGAAATCATACTGCAACTAGATCGAGAATATAAAGCACATCTATTCGTTTG